TAAAACATAGAGCTGAGACATGGCTTCATGAATGCTACAAGAGCATGATGAGAAAACTCATTAAAGAAGAGGTGCATGCGAAAAGACGTAGAGCTCAATGAGAGGGGGAAACGCTTAGAAATTACCTTGAGAACTGCAAGATAGTAATTGATAAACAAAAGAAGCAGGGGAAGGTCGTATTCAAAGAGCTCAGGGCCATTTAACTACCAGCTAGAAGACAACTCTAAGCCGAACGAGTTGCAAGCAAGGAGCTGGAGGTCAACTCTAAGCCTTTGAAACAAGTTGTAGATGAAGAGCCTAGGGAGCAACTCTTAGGCAATTCTCAAGATCAACTTTTTAAGGCTGATGAGTGCTAGAGGGGAATTTCAAGCTTTAGAAATCAGATGAAGAGCCAGGGCACTTGTTTAGGTCTTTATGAAGTCAGCTTTAGTTGAAGAGCTAAATCCACACGTACAACTCCTTATACAGAACCGCCACTTGAAACTATGATTGAAAAGAGCTAGTTCTCCAAGTTCCATGCCGCATAAGGAAGGAATGCATAGTTTAAATATGTGTATACACTTAACTTTCCATGGGAATTGACCAAATTTTTGCCCCAAGGCCAACTCATGTTTCTAGAAGGGAGGAGGATAAGAGGAGGAAGTAATAACTGATGCACTTTGGGCAAATGGGACAAGTGGAAGAAGATTTGGATAAAACTGCAGTAAGTGGTTCTAAAAAAGTGAGACATAGCGTTAAGATCAAGCTCCACTTTATCTATAAAAATGGAAGCAAGACACACATACAAGGATCTTTCTTCAACATGAAACAATGTACATACACTTCGTTTTTTTTTTTTTTTTTTTTTGAGGATCATGTTAAATTCCTCCACAGCAGCACGCATCTAGCATAGAGCAGTAAGTATCTGGCATTCAGTAGAGCAACAACACCCTGTAGAACCGAATTTGACTTTTCTCCCCTAACCTTTGCCTTTATTTCCTCTCCACTAACTTAAAATGAAATTTGAACCATTTAGATTTGGTAAAAACTAAATCTGGATGGTCTACATTTAATATTTTTATTTTTATTTTACATTTAATAAATTCACTTTATCACCAATTTGAACAATCTAAATTTAATATGTCCAATTCAATTCAATTTTAAAATTTTTTATAATTTTTTAAATTTTTATTTTGATAAACCTAAAATTAAAAGTGAAGATAATCTGCCAACTGACACTTTTTAAAAAAATATTTTTATAAAAAATTATAAGTTAAAAAATTTAAATCCAAATCATTCAGAGTAAATCTAAAAAATTAATTTATAAAAATTTACTATTAATTTTTGAATCCTCTAAATTAAATTTGGACTATTTTGATGAGTGATAAAATAAATTTATTAAAATTTTTTATTTTAAATTTAATAAGTATAACATAAAAATATAAATAAAAATAAAAACTTTAAATCTGAACCATTCAAATTTAGTCTATACTAAATATGAATGGTCTAAATTTTATTTTAGTTAGTGGAGGGAAAATGGAGGGAAAGATTAATGGAGAGAAGAAGTCCCGTAGAACCACAACCTTGCTACTTTTTCTCAATCTTTCTGTCTTATAATTTTTATAATTTATTTCAAAAAGTAACAGTATTATGTCTACTCCCATTATGCAATTCTTACATTTTGCTCCATCACCATTTCTTCATTTTTTTTTTTTGACCTGTGAGCTCCTGCATCCGAGAAAATTATAGATAAAGATCCCTAGAACTCATTGGTTGATTTAGAAGCCAAGTTTATCATAATGCTCAAGGATCGGCTCCTCCAACATGCTTGCAATCACAAAGCAACAATAGAAATAATGTCAAAACTTACTTACAACTTATTTCATCTAGACTTGGTAAATAGATGAGTTTGACCTATATATGACCTTAAGTCCAAAAATCCTATTATTTTAACATTGGCTATTTCTTCAAACTTGACCCTTATTAATCAGGCTTAAGACAGGGCATGGAAGCTTGTTTTATTTTTTGTTTATTCTTTGTTTATTTTTTAAATTTTTTTACTTTTAAAATTTAATTTTTTACATTATAATATTACATATTCATTTTGAAAAATATTTACAAACTACTCTTTCTAAATCACAATATAGAGCATTTTTTAGAAGCCTTACTTGATCCAAAATATAATACATTAGATAATTTTTATAATTATTTTTTTCAACTAAATCCTGCCTCATTTATAACTATTTGAAAAAATGATGCATTAAAATTTCAATTGTCATTATTAAGACACTTATATAAAATATTTAATGATAGTATAATTGAAAGAATGTAATTTTTTTAAGAAATTAAGGTTTTTAACTAACTTTTTTTAGAACTATAAATTAGTTACCAATAAGGTATATTGTGGTGCAAAGGGAGTATAATGTTCAAAAATTAAGAATGAGTAATGTAAATTCTAATTTTAAAGTCTAAACATATATCTTAAATTCTAAATTCAATCTAAAAATGTAAAATACATAATATTTTAGGCGTAAAAACAAATGCAAGCTTAAATGGATAGCTCAACAAACCCGTCTTATATTTTCAATTCTAGTTTTATTGATAGGATGAATTAAAATGAAATAAAGTATTTTTTATTGTATAAAAACCCGAATCGAACTGGCCAGTTCAGCTCATGAATTGATGACTTGGTCTCTTTTCTAGATTGCGTTTTTACCTAAACTAGTTAGCCACTAACTCGGGATAACCTAGCTAACCCGACCAGGTTGCTAGGTCAGCCAAGTTACTTTTTTGTTATTATTTTTTTAAATTAAAAAAATTAAATAAAAAGTAAAAAAAATTCATTTTGAAAATTAAAAAAGCGAGGCAATGGAAGGCAAGACAATTAAATTAGATTTTACTGTTTGTGGTTTGAACTTTGAATAGAAGGCCTTAATTGACTTGAAAGATTCAGTATTCTTCTAAGTTAACTGTACCTTAATTATTTTAATTTTTTATTATTTACTGTTATTTATCTGTCTGATTGTTACTTAGCATTTATGAATTATGATTGTCATTGTTGTTGATTTTAGCATTAGTGATTATTAGTTTTAGACTTTTTAATAATTGAAAGGTTGTAAATTGTAATTGTAAGAATAAATATTTAGAAAGTTATATTTTATTGTTGTTAGACTTTTGGTGGTTGTAATTCTAAATTTATTATTGTATTTGTATCTTGTTTTAGAGATTAATCTTGAATTTGGTTTGAATGTTTTCATGATTAATGTTTTTTTTATTTAAATTGTATTATTTTAATTATAACTGAATTTTCCTCTAGGTTGACCCCCAGTTCAACCCTAGTTGAATCACTGACCTGTAACCCATTAGCTTGATTGATTCAATAACCAATTCGGTTTTCAATATCTTAGTATTTTTAACCAAACAAAGTAAAATGAGATAGATATTCATATGAAGACTATGACATATACATGTGAAAAAACATGACTTTGAATCCTTCACTTTATTCGAGTTTTGTTATAGATTCTTGTAATTTTTTTGATATCCTAAATTCTTAAGTAACACCAAAAAACGAAATTGTTGGGACTTATAATATTGAAAAAAAATAAAAGGACCCAAAATTATATTTTTTTATATATTTTATATTCCTAAATAAAAAATAAGAAGCAGAATTTACTGTTTTGTTTTGACCAAAAGCAAAATTTACTGTTAATTTTTTTATAATGATTGTTGGTAAACAAAAAAAAAAGTACATCAACAAAATTTTACAGTTAAATAATATATATATATATATATATATATTAGAAAGAAATTCTTTATTCAAAGGATCCCATTTTTGAGGCCAAGTGCCGCGTTATTAGCGACAATGATCGGTGAAAGTAATGGTCGGTGGACTGCCTCCTCAGCTTGTGGACCCCACATTCCCCACTGATTTGACTTGCTACCGTTCATCTTCCTATCTTTAAACCTCCCACTAATTAAGATATGCCACGTGGCATGCTGACCAAAGATTACAAATCCTGATGCATACTTCTTGCCTGCCTGCTCGTCCAATGAAGCGAGCTTGATGCCCTTCTTCGCTCGAAAGCTCCAGCATTCTGTTTCGACCTTTATGATGATCGATGTTGGAGTCGGACCCGCATCCCATGCACTTTTTCTTTTTCTTTAACTTTTTGTTTTTTAATAAAATAAAAATAAAGTTAAAATGAGTGGAGTCTCAAAGTTTATTAAAATTAAAACATGTCATTAAATTTAAAAAATATTTAGAGTCATACTTATAAATCACTCATCAATCACATTTTTATTTGGCAAGGAGATTTAATTTTATAATTTTATAAATTATAAACCAAATTTTTATTAATAAGATTAATTTTTGTTGCTATGTACTTTTTTAAGTTCTTATATATATATATATAAGCACATCATTTATTAATTTAACAAAATGGTAATAAAATTTTCTTGAATTATATAAATGACAAACTAGTTTTTTGAAATGTTATAATTTCATTAAAATCTTTACAAATTTATCAATCAATAAATTTTAAAGTAAAAAAATGATTTTATCTTTATTAAAAATAATAAGCCTCAATCATAACTTTTGCTTTAAGACTAATAACTTTTACTTTGTGAATGAAAGAGTTGAACAAAAAATCATAACTTATTAAAATATAATTTTTATTATTAAAAATAATAATTCACAAAATAAACAAAATAATAGTTATAATTGGGGTTTGAAAAATAAAAAATAACTTTAAAAGATATTTTTTAAAAGCTAAAAAATATTCTACATTTAAAATCAAGAAAATATCTAACATTGTAAACCAAAGAGAATACCATTATTGTTCGAGTCTCAGTTTGACGATTTTGCTCTGTTCCCAAAGCACCTTCCTTTTCAAACATAATAGACCAACCAACAGTGTTAGTGGTGGTCACTGTACATGCTAATGTTATTTCACGAAATCTCGTACGAGGTCTCCGTGTCTCATTGAAAAAGATTCTTCTCCAAGCGCTCTCTCTCTCTCTAGATCTGTAACTACAGAGAGTCATCACTCGGCTCTATATATATCATCCTTATCTCGGTCATCTTCTCATCCCACTCACTCAAACTCTCTCTTTTCTACCTCCTTCTTTGCCTTCTCATTCTCCACAATCCCCCTTTTGCTTCCCAAATGGCTAGTGTTGAGGTATACACTGTGTGTGTGTCTCTCTCTCTCTCTCTCTCTATCTATCAAATTAATCAATAAACACACACACACACACATTTCTGGTTTTGTGTACATTTCTCAAAGATAGATGTAGTTTATAGCAACGCTTCTCTTCTCTTCGATCTGATCTTGTACATATGTTTCTGTTCATGGGTCATCAAAATTTTAGCAGGACTAGGACAGGAACTTTCCAGTGGAACAGGTTTTTAATGTCTTTCACAGATTGAAGATGAACTCCTTACTTCTACAGTATATATAAAGTTCACCGTTCTGAGAGATCAGTGGCTTCCTAAGTGCAGATCATTGATAATATAATATTGACACACTTGAATCTACATGTGAAGAAATATATTGTGATGCTCTTATACAATAATGTTCTTCTGATAACTCTTAATAATGGTGAATTCTTGCAGGTGGCCCAAGCAGTGAAAGACAATGAAAAGGAAACAACCTCTGAACAACAAGTGGTCACCGATGTTGCTGCAAAAGTTGAAGAAGAAAAAGAGACCAATAAAGAGGCAAATGAAGCCATGGCTGATGAAGAAGTGAAGGAAGAGAATAAGGAAAATGGTGAAACAGAATCATCAGTTGCAGAGGAAGAGAAGAAGGAAGTGGAAGCAGACAAGGACGGAGCCACGAAGGATGTTCCTGTTGAAGGAACTGATGAAGCTTAGGGAGGCATTTCAAGTAAAGCGTAGAGAGAGAGAGAGAGAATATAGCTTGGGATTCACTATTCCCTCATTCCCTCCCTCCCTCTCTATACGTTTCAATGAAAGTGTGGATTTAAATCCACGTATCTTTGGCTTTCATGCTTTGTTGTTGGTTTTGCATGCTTGACTTCACAAGCTTTCTCTCAGTAATTTTATATTTGATAATGGTGAAAAGGTCTTGAACTCATGAGTTTGCGATATTGATGATTTGGGCATATGATTATCTAAATTTCGCCTATTTTTGTTAACGATAACATGTCATGGTAGCAGCGCCACCTCCCTCATTTGGAAGAAGCCTGAGTTCAAACTAGGTATTAACATGTTTTTGTATGGGCATGGATATGCGCCTCTCTCTTCTGTAGAGAAGTGCCAGGCAAAGACTACCCTATTTTATTAATTATTGAAATGTTTTTAAAATTTTAATATACGAGAGTGAGTAAAAACATACATGATGTATGTCCCTTCAACTCTTTTTTTGTTTGTTCAACTTATACTTTAAAAAAATATATAATAAAATCTAACCAAAATATATAAGTAATAATCAAATCTTTGAAATACTATAATTTTTCTGAAGTCTCTAGGTATCTTTTTGACATCAATGATTTTAGATTAAATAAATAAATTATGTATTGTTTAAAATAAAAAAATAACAAGTTCATGCAAGTCATGAGTTCTTATTTAATTTTTACTATTTACATAATAAAAGTTTTAATTGCTTAAACAAAAGTTGTTACTAGTTATTTTTAGAACTTGGACTTTTGTATGAAAATTTCTATTATCTCCAACTTATGAAAATAATTGATAATAATTTTTGTTTAAGTAGTTAGAACTTTTATTATATAAATCGTAAGAATTGAATAAGAAATCACAACTTTTTACATAAAATTTATTGTATTATTGATGTGAAGACCTTATTAGTGAGTAATTGATTAAAGAATCAAAGTTGTAAGTGTTAAAACAAAGGTTATGATTGAAACTGGTTATTTTCAAAATTTCTTTATCAATTATAAAAGAAATTCCACATGAAAGATTATGACTTCTTGTTTAATTTTTACGATTCACTTAACAAAAGTTGTGATTGTTTAAACAGAAGTTGTGATTGAAAAAAATGGAGCCAGACCTGTTATTTTTATTTTAAATAAGGGGTAATTTAGTCATTTAACTTAAAAAATTAATGTCAGAAAAGTATTCAGGGATTTCAAAAAAATTATGACATTTAGATAGACCTAATTGTCATTCATATATTTAGTAAAATTTTATTGTCATTTTCCCTACTTTTAAAGTGCATCATAAATTTTTATTTTGAGAAGATTCAAAATTATGCAAGAGATTGGAAGCTTAATGCTGGTCTAGCAGGGTTGGGTTAAGTGAATGATTTCTCTAGCTTTGAATATATTTCTTTTTACTTTTATGATTGTTCCCACCTTTTCTTTGCTCTTTTTCCTCCTTTAAATCATTTGTATATAATGTAAGATAATTTATTCTACCCTTGTAACTAAAGAGAAAAATTCCGGAATTTCTTTCTTTAACGGAAGGTGGTCATCAGCTTTGGGACTTTATTTTTATTTATTTATTTATTATAAATAAAAGTTTAGGTAAGTTGAATCCATGAGGCTTACTAAGGCCAGGCTATGCTTTCAAACTTAAAGAGTACTTATAGATATATTTACAAATTATTTATCAATAAGGACCTCATATCATAAAGGCATTTGATCCTTTAACCTTTTGAATTATTGGCCAAATTCTTACTATTTAAACCAACTTTTGTTGGTGTATTTTTATTTTTTTCTTAAGCATTTTTTCACTTCCATTTCAAGACTGATATTTGGGTTTATTTTTATGTTTTATATCTTTTTTGCCTCTCCAACTAAGCATTAAGGGTGTGTTTAGTTGGGGTTTTAGAGGGGAGGGAAGGGCCCTTATTTGGTTAAGAGTTTTTGAAGGGAAGGGAAGCCAAAATAACCCCTCCTCTTTCCTCATATTGCTCCCCTTTAAATTGCGATCTTTTGGAGGGGAGCTGATTTTTGTTTGACTATTTTGCTCTTATTTATTTTTAATATTTTAAATATATTCATAGCTAAAAAAAACTCTCATTCATCTTAGATTGTACTTTACTCTCATATTTTGATTGATCTCATTGGATTTTTTTTTAAAAATTCCAATTCATCATATTTTATTATATATTTAAGGGGGTTATTTATTTTTTATAAAAAATTGTTAATATCATAATCATTGATTTAATTTTTTATTCACATATTGACAATATGATAGGATGAGAGTGAATTTTTAAAAAATCATGCAATTTAAATTGAGGTGTAAAATTATTTTCTATAACAAACAATTAAAAAAAATTTAAACTAATATATAAGGATATAATAGTAAATTAGTTATTACCTCCCCTCCCCTCCTCTCTTAAATCAAACAAAAAAGTATTAAAAACTTATCCTCTTCCCTCCAACAAAACCAAATAAGATAACTTTAAAACTCTCCCCTCCCTGTCTTTTGAACCAAACGCACCCTAAGTAAGCTTTGGCATGTTTGTTTTTTTTTTTTTATTTCCCCCAAAAAGAAACCGAAAGAAAGACCAACTCCTTACTTCCCATCTTCACTCAAAAGGTTGGAGCAAATTAGGCTGCTTGGTTTTAAGTTTGCTCATAATTTTGTGATTTGTGAAGGAAATGGTTTTATTATTTTTCTTCTTTTTTTATGATATGCTAATTTATCATATGCACGCAACTGATCTCCATCAGCTTAAATGTCAAGTAGCATACATGCAAATTTAACTCCACCACCGCCCTCACAAAACATTAAGTGTCTAGAAATTACCCAAAAAAATAGTAAGAATAAGGTATCGCTTAAATTAATGAATTTTAATTTTAAAATCTTATATTTATGCTTGAACTAATGGGAATCTGGATTTGATAACTTTTCCAGTTCATTTTCTCTCTGTTTTCCACTATTTCTTTCTTACCCCAAAACACTTCATAAACTTCTACTTTGAAAAGATGCGACATTCAAATTTCAAATTCATGCAGAGATTATATGGGCTTAATGCTAGCTAGGTCAACAAGGTTACATTAGTTTGGTCAATGTGTATTTTTCCAGGTTTAAATGATAAATTTGCTTCTAATTTTCATCCTTTTCTCCCTGAAGGCTTGGATTTTTGTATCACAAGACTTGTATAACAAACTTTATAATTCGAATGCAAAAAACAAAGGTACTTTTCCCTAAAAAATAAATAAACATTCCAACTCAAATTTAGACCACCTATTGCTTCACCTGAGACTTTCAGCATGGCCAATACATTGCTTGAACACTTCACAGATCATCACAACAAAATGATCCGAGTCCTTTATAATGCAGACAGAAACTGAATAGAGATTTAATCTCTTCTTAACCATGTTTTATTTTCATATTGATACAAAAAGAAAGAGTACCCCTGTTAGAAGTACAAGTTATATCAAGTCCCAGGCAAATGATAAAAGGGAAAAGAAAAAAAAGAAAATGGCAAACCACATCCTCACCGTTTCTGATAGTTTCACCTCTAATTTGAATCATCAGAAGCAATTCATAGGTGGCGTAGAGAGATATAGGAAGAAAATAGCACGCTACACTTCCAGAAGGTTCACGTACTCGAGTACTTCAGAGGATCCAGAATCTTCTCGCTCTCTCATTTTCATGAATGTACAGAGACTGTTCAATGCTTGGTAAACTTGCCAAGGACATCAAAGTAGTCAGGGAATGTTTTCCGGGTGCAACCAGGATCATTGATGGTCACCGGAACATCGGCACAAGCAGCGAGAGAGAATGCCATGGCCATTCTGTGGTCATCATATGTGTCGATAGATGTGACGTTCAATTTCTCAGGTGGGGTTATCACACAGTAATCAGGACCTTCTTCAACTGTCGCTCCGAGCTGAAACAATAACAAACTAAATCATTGAGAGATCATTAGATCAATGTCATAAATCCTCATTCCCACATAACCTTACCCATACCCCACCATTGGAACATTTACTATGAATTTTATTGGTTTCTTGCTAGGTACTAAAAATTGAATCGATCATTAAACTAGTTAAGACATTGATTAAAAGGTTAATGGTCAAAACCATGATAAAAAAAATTATAAACAAAACATTTTATTAAACTAGTTAAGACGCTAGTTTAATAATTTACTAATTCAATTGAACGCTTTGACTAAGATTTCTATACTACGGTTTCTTGCACTATACCTTGAGAGTAAATTATATACGTAGTTTCTGTTTCATTGAAATCACATCAACATTCCTTCTATTTTCAAAATCAATACACATCTCCCTTGAATTTTATTAAAATCTTGGACATCGCTCTTCTATTACTCAAACATCTCGAAAAAATATCAACCATGCAAGTCTAGGTTTTGTTGACATTACAGAGATATCCCTTTGATTTTCAAAAAGTACACAAACTTCTCTTAAAAATGGAAGGAAGGTCTGTAATTTAAGAAAAACTTAGTCTGAGTGAAACATCTTTATTTACATGGGAGATTAGATTTGCCCATGTTTCAAAAATAGAAAAGAGATTTGTCTAATTTCAATAAAACTCAAAGGAGGTCCATATAATCAATTTTTAGTTTTTATGATTGGTCTGTGTGAGTTTTGAAAATAGATAAAAAGTCTAGGTAGTTTCAACAAAACACAAGTTATCTACTGTATGTGTGACTGATAATTCCTCTTCACTATAGATGTGGCAAGGCACTCACTCACCTTCCTAAGCTCTGTGCAAATAGCAATCATTCTTTCTGTTTCTTTGACTCTCCAACTTGCAACTACAAAGAGACAATCAATACCATGTCAGCAGAGAACAAATTTGATAAAATGACGTTGACGCGCTCGGATAGGGAAAAGGTCATTATATGCATCATAAAATGAGATTACAAGAGATAATAACTTTGCCCATTCTATAATTACATTGAAAAAGACAAAGTGGTCATAGTGAGTATACAGTTTATACTGCAGATGTCGCAAGTATTTACTACCAAAGGCCATCATCTGACTGAAAGGAATGTGGGCCCTTTTTTTGAAACTTTTATTTGTTTGCTACATGTCCTCTGTACAACATGCTTAGAACAGCAAGGGATTTGATTTTTGTACAACCATGTAGCACACATACTTGATTTTCTGCTCTTACAAGAAATGATATCACTTTAAAAACCTTTCAAGTACATGCAATGCTTAAGACTGAAGAAAATTTTATTCCAATTTAAAATACTCATGCGTTATTGTATCAACAAAGTTCCCACAAGAATTACATGTTAGAAGCTTTTAATAAGTAACAGACGAAAGCGTATAGATCACATATGAGAGGAAAAATCATACCATCTCTTATAATGGTAGTACCATTGGCAAATAGCGCGACTACTGCAAGTGTCATGGCAACATCAGGCATCTTGTTCATATTGATGTCAATGGCTTGCAAGAATCTACAACCTGAAGAATCTCTTGGAGGTCCACTGACAGTAACACTATGCTCTGTCCAAGAAACTTTAGCCCCCATCTTCTCAAGAACTTCAGCAAATCTTACATCTCCCTTTAAAAAGGAATAATCAAGTTACAGAAAAGCATGACTTCACGCATTAAATGCAAAAGAAAAATACAACATATATATTGCTTGACAATGGATGCAATAAAACAGGTTAGTCAAACATTGTCCTGATTATTATCCCACCACTCAAACCTTCTTCACTTACCCACGTCAAACTTTGTCATGTGACACAATCAGCCATTTCATGTGATGTTTTCTACTCAACATAGTTTTGACAATCGAACTGGACTGGCTGATTGAACCGGTCAGGTGTCCGGTCCAGAAAATAGGAAAAACCAGAGGATTAGTGAACTGGCCTTGAACCAGTAAAACCTGGCAAAACCGGTGTGAACAGCCCAACTGGTTAAGCATGTTAAGGCTGGGAGAAGATTGTTGAAGAGAAAATGAAAGGATATGAGAAGAAAATTTAAAGGAAAAACAAAAAAAAGCAAAGAAGCGAGAAGATATGAACAAAGCAGAAAGCAAGCTTGACATGTTTTCTTCCTCCCCTGTACTTCAAGTCGTTGACACCAAAAAGCTTGAGTCCCCTTGCTTTGTCTTTGAAATGAGGGGGGGGGGGGACGAAGAGAGAGGGATTGAGGGAAAGAAACATTGAAGAGAGAGTCAGAAAAAATAAAAACCTGCACCTCTTGTTTCTCAATCCAAGTTACAGGAGCTAGCACACTAATACGAGGTGCCTACAGATATAACTATTCCTTTTTTTTTTCCTTTCCAAATCCAAGTTACCTGCTATTATAATCTTACGCATATTGCCATTGTCTAATTAATTTAAATTTAAATACAATAAGATTACAAGAAATGCATTTAAATATTATAGCCTTATAATCACAAGTATATTTTTATGTTTTCTAATATTTCTGTTTCAATTGTTTATTTTATTGCAATTAATTGATTAAAAATCTATATTTTACATCATTATTCTTATTTTCTGTTGCTTAAAATAACTAGTATAAATAAAAAAATATATTAATTTGATTATAACCAGTTTGACCATGGTTTGATGACTGGTTGAATTTTCAAAACATTGCTACTCATAGACACCAATTTCTGTATAATATATAAAAACATTTTTATGTTCTATAGAGACTAATTAAAAGCCAAGTCCAAGGGTCAAGCTCTTTCATTTTACATGTCTCAAGCTGTCAAGCATAAACAAAAGAAAAGGACATTTAAAAACAAAAGAAAGCAAAGCAATGCCAGTAAGTTATACACATATAATTAAATATATATATATATATATATATTAACACATGTACATGAGTATGTAGGAGGATGGATCTGGTGCAAGTTCTAGTTCACTATGAGAGAGAGAGAGAGATGTATATCCTAAACACTGATTTTTTTTTTCTTATATGAACGGTCAAGATTTGCACGTGAATAGGAACCCATTTAGTCAGATCACAAGTTTAATGTAAAAATGAGCTGAAGGAATCCTGATAACTCAATCATGAATGGGCAGGACTAAATCGCTTCATTTTAAGAATTCTTTTTGAATTCTTAGATTTTGGATCAAAGCAACTAATGATCATATTACCACAATTAATCCTCTCCTTACCAGCACAGTGCACACTAGAGGCCAAAATTAAACTCCACAACAACACCCATAAAATTGATAATGAAATAACACCCTCACTTTGATATAGAACACAACACAACAAAATTGAAAATGAAACCACTCATGTATATTAAAAACAACTAGGAAGAGCTTTTATTATTTCATCAAGACAGGGCTTCTAGTCTCTCATTCAATTTCTTAAATCCTTTTTCGATGCAGTAAACGTTCATGACTGTTGTATATCAGGCAATAAGGACATATGATGTAAAACAGCCATGGAAGAAAAATACATACACTTAAAAAGAAGTTCACACAATGACAATGATTCTGAAAGATATCGGTAACATCTTCGTGAACATCAAAATGATTAAAAAGCCTACTGAAGTGATAAAAGGCAACATCCACAAGCTTTTGTAAATAAAAGCAGATGGAAAAAATAAAGAAAAATATTAATAATGTCAGCATTTAAATAGAAGACATACTCAAAAGGCTGCAGGAAAATAAATTGTTACAACAAATAATTCCAAGCATAGATACCTGTAAACTGCTTGTTCCACAGCCCTTAACAGTGATTGTCCCACCAGTTACAGCTGCACCTGCAAGGAAGTAGCTGGCACTAGAGGCATCACCTTCAACAAAAGCATCTCCTGGTGACCTGATTAGGAAACTAAATGGTTAATCTCATTTCAACCAGATGGCACAAAGCAATATGGCTCAGAATTCACAAAACCTACTTGTATTTTTGTCCTCCTCGGATCAAGAATCTATCCCAGCTATCATTGTGTTCCACCGAAACTCCAAACTGCTCCATCAATTTTATAGTCATTTCAGCATATGGAACAGAAATCAGTTTATCAATAATTTCAATTTCCACGTCACCAAGAGCCAAAGGAGATGCCATAAGCAAAGCACTTAAGTATTGGCTGCTAAGTGATCCAGACAGCTTCACCTACAAGCAAAAATGACATTCAAAATATGTTAAACAACACTCATTACACCCTACAGGTAGAATAAGGAGTAAAGGTCTTTAATTCTATAGCTGCAGATTAATACACAAACAACATTTTATGCTGTCAAAAAGGATTTCTCTGTCGAGATAATAATTTGAAATCGATAAACTGGAAAGAGGTTGTCCAATATCCTCATAATTCTGAACAGATATACATTCCTTCTTTAAATACTAATGCATTTTGTAGTCTCTCTAGCCCCTCAGAAAAAGGAGAAAGCAGAAAAAAAGACAGAATAAAAGGACAATCCACCAAGTATCCAACCATAAGAAAGAATGAGATCTTGGTCTGAAAAGGAAATTTAAATAAAACTGAATACATTACAATGTGAACTCCTATCACATCCTAGCCAGTCATATTCCACAAATAATTTTTCTAAATGAATCAAAAAAAACATAGCAGCCAAAACTAATTTAAAGTTTTAAAACAATTTAGACAAGGAAAAAAGGTAAGAACGGTAATCTTCTCCAAAAAATCATGAAACACTGTTAGAAAATGCATGCCTCACCTTTCCTCCAGGAAGTCCTCCTTTGCCAACCACACGAACAGGTGGGCAGTTTGTGCCCAGAATACAATCAATATCAGCACCCAGCTGTTTGAGACCCGCCACCAAATCTCCAATTGGTCTCTCCCTCATTCGTGGCACTCCATCAAGTATGTAGCTGAAGTTAATTGAAAACTCTATAAGCCAACACATTGTGTAAGACCAGCAAAGATGAAGAAGATGATGAATAACAAATGACAGACCTTGAGTTTCCACCTGCAGCGACCACAGCTGCTGTCAAAGGGCGCATTGCTGTACCAGCATTTCCAAGGAATAACTCAACTTCATTATTTGATTCACTGCTAACTGGAAACTTTCCACCACAGCCTTCAACAACTGCTTGTTTGATTTGCTTGTTATCTTCCACATGTAGCCCAAGGGTTCTTAGTGCACCAATCATATAATGAATATCCTCACTATCTAACAAGTTGTCCACAACAGTTGTTCCCTAAAGAAAAGAGAAAATAGTCTTTTCAATTAGAGCCAGCCTCTCCATTTCATCAGCTCTTAATCCACAATTGAACACACTGAATTCAATCAATGTCTAAGAGAGATACCAAAAGACTTTACCAGCAGGGACTGTTACCTTAAATAAAAGACAAGTATGGATTGAAAAACAAATATCTGTCTACGACTACAAAACATTCACATATTAAAATCCAATTCATATCATATCTGGTGTGTGTGTAAATGTATTATATTAGATAGTTCACTAAAAATTGCAACTAAAAACTATACAAATCCAAGGAAAGTTTTTTTTTTCCCTGGGTGGATGCTAAAAAAAAATAAATAAATAACATGGAGGATGAGATGTTTTGGAGTCATCTTTGTGGATTAACACTAGTTATCATCTTGCTTTGTCCATGGATAGTTTAATGATTTACCAGCACATTTTGTAGTTAAGGAACAAAATTTAGGAATTCTTAGACTCAAGGAGTTTCTTCATCTCCTCGCAAACTTGCTTCCAATTCCTGTGATCTTATAGACTTCCTGAATCAAGATAACAATGGTGCCTTCATTTTGTCTTCCTTATCCCATGGTAGATGGGATATGATTTGCTATTTACTAAGCTTGATTATCCCTATGGCTGCTTGGGGAAAATAGCCATGTCAAAATAAATCATGAAATGGATAATCCGCACTAAGTGCAGTTGTGGCACCAACAATTGCTTGGACTCTGATGATATGCATGCATGCTTCAAATGGACAAAAAATTAAATGCTTTTATTGGGTGCAAACTAATATAAGGTTTTTCTGGGTGTACTTGGAATGTTAGAAACTATAATAATAGGCAAGGCATAATGACAAGGATTTAAATTTGTACAAGCCAGCATTCAAAATAGAGGACTAGTGTGGTGAATACACATACACAATAGATATAATGACAAGGATTTAAATTTGTTTGAGCCAGCATTCAAAATAGAGGACTAGTGTGGTGAATACACATACACAAATGTGGATATAAGCTACCTCTATGTCACAGTTGTTTCATCCGTTATGAGATCTATGACACTGTCTATTTGTCATGAGAACCTCATCTCATAATAATTTAAGACTCTATCTCATAGATGTAATAAGTTGCCCATGAATCATGACTCGATTGCTAATCCTGAAATGCAGTAATTATGCACAAAATGAGGACGCATTTTTCAATCATTTCTTGCAACGAAGAGAAAAAATTCTAGCAGAACAATAAAATCGTAACGGTTAAACTCAGGAAAACAGTAGAAGGGAAGCTAATTAGGCACACATGCAACATGCTTTTCCATTGCTCAATATAGCCGATTTTAGCCTGAAATGGCATCATTGATGATCACACATGGGGGAAAAATTGAATTGAAATTCAAAATCAAGAATATGCATATGAAACTGGAATTCCAAACACACAACTAAAAATGGAAGAGTCACCTCCGAGAGAGCAGCAAGAAGCAGAATTCGATTGGATAGAGACTTCGACCCAGGCAAGGTAATGGTACCGGAGATTTCTTTAATGGGCTGCAACACAATCTCCGGCGCGGTTGCTGCCGCAACTGAGGCAGAAACCCTAAACCTACCCACCTTGCGGTTTCCCGCTGCGTATCCATTACTATGCTTCAAGTTCCAAGATTTTGAGGAGCCCCAGAGCTGAGACCTCAATGAAATGGAACCGGAAGATCTGGGTTTGTGGGAATCGAAAGCATTGTGGAGAATCTGAGCGCTCTGAACTAAACTATGGATTCTACTAACTTGAGCCATTGCAAAGGCTCAGTCTTTTGTGCTCAAATCTCAATCCTCTATTTCTCTCTGCCTAAAACCTATAAGAAGTGTTTGGTTACAACTAATTTTGGGATTGGGAAAAGGGGTGGTTGGTAGATGGAGTCTGCTACAGGGCTCACCAACCAACTGAGACGAAAAGGGGAAATGGTGTTCGGCTATGAATGAACCAGAGCTCCACCTACTCCCAATGAAGATGGCGTTGGATAGCTGTGGAATGCGGCCCCACCACCCCCCCTTTTTTTTTTGTGAGAGTGCAATGCTAACGTGACGTGACATGCCTTAATAAATGTGAGAGAATGTAGAAAATAATGAGAAAAATATTCTAACAGGCACTGATGATTGCGTTTAGAATTAAGATTTGAATAATCTCTAAGAATTAAGATTTGAATTCATATTAAAATAGTTGGCCAAAACATTCATATTAAAAAAGATTTTTATATTTAATATTGTATTGCATCAAACAAGTTTGGATAGCAAGATACAAGTAATAAAAAAGTAAAACCTAAAAATGTTAGAATTTTAATTACAATTTAAAAATTAAACTATCAAAACTTTCATGTTCTCTTATCTCTTTGCAAACTACTCCCTCCTGTCAAAGGGCAACTTTTACAATGCCTGCTTTGTCCAAAATACAAGGAAATGTGTTTACATTTTTTTTTTCTAAACTTACCCTTCTATCATTTATTACTATTTTAAATTTAGAATTTTAATCAGTTGTGTCTTAACTTATTTATAATTCTAACAGAGCACTTAATTATGGTCAATTATTGCAATGAAGAGAAAAAAAACTGGAAAAAAATATCATTTTTTAAAAAAGCATAAATTTGTTATTTTATCTTTTAATTCACTTGGCCCTTGTCTCACCGTTAATTACTAGAGAAATACTTAAATAGGCTAGATACACCATATCATTCATAATTTATTCAATAAAAATATAATATTTAAATAACATTAAATGATAGTAGAGAGAAAAAATACAAGAAATTAAAAATGTATTTTATTATAAAAATAAAATCAATTTAAAAAATATCACACAAGATATATTTAAATTACTTGAAGTATTTTAATTAAACAGACTACAAATGATGTAATGCACCTAATTCACTATGTATTTCTCTAGTTACCATGATTTAAGCAAGAAATTTAATAATAATTGTCTAAAAATTACTTTATATTTTTAATTAAAGATTAAAAAAGAGGATATATTATTTATTTAAAAATGACTTATAATTTATTTAAGAGTTAACTTTTTAATGATAAAAATAATTTTTAAATACTAAAAATGTATTAAAATAAATTTTTTAGAACATGAAGTTCATAAACTATATTTTATTAAAATGATTTGAAACCGACAAATAACGTGGATTTAGTCAATGGCAGATGAAGGACTCAAGGTCAGTGGGACCAAATTTTTTTTTTTTTGGTTGGTTAGACACGAATGATATATACTTTATTCATAATAAAATTTAATTTGACAATATATAAAACCATATAAATTATATAAACTAAGTTTTTCTACGTGCGTGTGCTTGCACAACAATTGAGGTCAAACTCCAAAAACCTGTTTAAATAATAATAAATTCATATCATGTATAACAAATTGATTTGCTAAAAAATTAAATAACAAATTGAACATATAAAGATCAAAATTATTATAAACTATACAAATATTTTTAATAAAAATATAAAAAAAATTGAAAATAAAATAAATGATTCAACTAAAAATATAAGAATCAAAAAGCTTCAAATAAAAGTCTAAACAAAAATTGTTCATAATATTTAAATTATTCTAACATATCAATTACCTAGTGTACCAAACTTTCATAATTTCCTTATCAACCTCACTTTTTTCAATATTTTAAATCTAAAGTTCTAACTCCAATTATACTCCCTTTTCCCCCTAACCAATTTTGCACTCTAACATTTTACTTAGATCTAGATTATTGACATTTTTACTCTTTCTTCCTCTTCTCTTATTTTTCACTGAATTAATGGGTTCAAAACTAATATATTAGTGGGGCAAATTTAAACCCATTTTATATTCACATGAAATATCACAATCCCTCTCAAATATATGTACGTCCGTCACTTGATCTAGTATAAAGAGTTAATTCTTCACAATATAATAAATTAAAGATATTCATATTTGGCACTCTAATCTCTTTCAATAAGAAAAATACTTGTGAAAAATAAAATAAAATGATTTGAAAATGAATATATAAAGAATGAACTAACAGTTCTCATAAAAAACAAAACGGTAGTTGAAAGAAAACCACGATAAAAGGGTCTGGTAGCAGAGACCCACGGGGATTGGTGAGGTGGGACCACGAAGGAGAAAAACTGAAGATAGGATAGGGTCCCACCCGCGAGCAAGTCAAGTCTTCGATGGTCTTGTCGTACGTATCAGTATCACAGCTTCCATCCAATCGGGAAAATTAACATGCTATAGGAAAAGGAAAAAATCACCCACATGTTACAAAACAAAAAATATTTTCACGTGAAAATGTTTGGTCCTCTATAGAATTATATTAAATCATTGAAAAAATTAATTTTTTAATTTTTTAAATTTTAATTCATTTGTAACTCAATCCCTCAAACTTTAAGTATAACTTGTTATGACTCAATCTCTTAATTTTTATTAGTTTTTTTTTAATGTTAACGTAGATCCCACATTAAAGAATAAGAGGATGGTATTTTAAAGTAAGATATAAATATTTCTTTTATCATTCTTTTTTGATAAGGATAATTTTTAAAAAAAATTAAAAAATGAGGATCAAATTATAAGTGAGTTAAAAATTAAAAGATTGACTCATCGAGTCATAATTGAGAGATTAAATCACAACGATTATATTTGAGGAACTAAGTTATAAGTGAGTTAGAAGTTAAAGAATAAAAAAATCAATTTAATTATTTTAAGCTCTTGAATTCTAATTCTCAAATATCCATTTACATTAAATAAATATGTTAAAGGTATTCTTGAGATACTCATAAAATCATCATTAGTAATACTCCCAGTTGTTATTTAGAATATTGGGCAATTAAATCAAAAGAAATATTTTCAAAAATGCTATAACTTACAAATTGGTTTTTCTTTTTGAAAAAAAAATAGTTTGATTCAAACTAATTTCTTTAATAATTTACAGCTTGGTTGTGTTAAAACCGATTTCCTTTATTCAAAATCCACTATTACTTAATTATTAATGGTTAAAGTATATTTTTAGTTCTTTAACTTTATATAATATTTCATTTTAATTCCTCAACTTTATAAAATATTTTTTTAATCCTTTTAATCTTAACACTGTTAGTTTCATCTCAACAAATTTTTATAATGAGCTTTTAGATATTGATAAAATATTTTTAAATGTTAACATATTAATTTTATTTTTTTAAAAAAATAATAATGATTTACACAAAAAATAATCTTTGAAACAAACGATATTAGGATTAAAGAACTAAAAAATACTTTACAACATTAAATAATTAAATTGAAACCTTATATAAAATTAGAGGATTAAAAATATACTTTAGCCAATTATAAATATTAAAGAAATGATTATTAACATTATTTCATTATTCAAAAGTATGCTTTTATGATTATTAATTTTGTTGACATAATCATTGTTAAAAATGATTATTTTTATGATTAATGATTTATTTTCTTCAAAAATGAGTTCTTTTTATTGTTAATTAATGAATGATAACCTACTATTTAATGAAATTTTGTTTATATAATGATAATTTATTTGTAATTAATTTAGATTGAAGTAGAATAAATAATAATTTTAAAAGTATGAAATAATAAATGAGCTAGTAATAACCAAAGACTATTAAATTTTAATAATAATTAAAGATTAAATTTTTCACATGCAAAAAAAAAACAAAATTTATACATAATGGCTTCCTATGTTACATCTTAATCTTTTTATAACACGTGGATCCTCTTGTCTTGTAGGCTTTTGATGTTGAGATTCTAATGATTTTGTAAAATTAGTACAATTAGTGGGGTATTTAAATAAAAAGTTGGAGACTTCATGGGGGGGTCAAATGTTGTGGAGTTGTGGATATTTCGCTTGTGGTCTTCCAAGTTCAAATGTTTAACTATTGTATTTGATTACAAATAATGTTGGATTATCAAATAAAGATACAAATGACCCAAATCATTCAATGTTTGGAGAGTTAAACTGGTGAGAACAAGTAAATAAGTTAAAAGAAGGGGCCCCTTGATCTTATTCCACTTCATCTTTAATCGTATATGATAGTTGTGTAGGCAAATAGCCTCAACGTAGGCATGGCAAGTCTGCTACAAGTGGAGCATATTGAGGGACCATTGTGAAGCAGCATTTTCTTAACATGAGTAATATGTTGCATTGGTCTTGGGCCTAGGAAATCCTCTCTTGATAATATGTTATTAGTATTTGCAAAGGGTTTTGAAGACTCAACTCATACAAGTATCCCATATCTTGAATTCATAAGATATTAAGGAATAAGGATGTCAATTGTAAAAATAATGATGATGATGATGATGATAATAATAATAATGAAAGTGAATACTTACTAAAAAAATAGTTGTAGCAATTCTTGAGTTGATCCATTATCAAGTATGTCTCCAATACCATAACATGTGCTCGGATGTGCAATCTAGTGGCTAGTTCTTGTGATATGGGGGACCTTATAATATCATGTTCTCATTCTTCCAATGCATCAATGAAGTTTGTATGTCCTTTATTCCAATTTGATGATGGCAAGATGGCGCTACCAAACTTTTTTTTTGTTTTGCCATCAATTAGTTGCAATTTTCATGTTTCTTGCAAATTGATATTTTTTTTAATCTGATTGATAGTCGCCCGAAGCTTGTTAGTTTCACTCAGGTATTTCAGTCACAACAAATATTTGTTAATGGTTAGATTACACATAAGTTTCCTAAACTTTAAATCATGTATAAATAATCTCTTAACTTTTAAAACTTAATAATAAATCTTCTTAAACTTTCAAATTTATACAAATAACCCCAAGTCATTAATTATATAACCCCTTAAACTTTACTTTTGTGTATTTAAGCCTCCAAACTTAATTGATATATAAGTAACCTATCTAAATTTTAAATTATGTGTAGATAATTAATGTATAAAATTAATCATATAAAGTTATATTCATAAATATAAAAGTTTAGGGAGGTTCATTGTAAAGTTTCAAAGGTTAAGGAAGTTATGTATATATAGTTTAAAGTTCAGAAGAGTAATGTATAAATTAGCCTTTGTTAATTGCAAAAGAATACCATGATCTTGTTCAATTTCAGAAGTTTGTGGTCCTGATTTGTTATTTGCTATATTTTGTGGTCCTTATTTAGTGATTTTCCCTTGTAAAAATAATGATGTATCTTCTTCTGATCTTGGGTTAATAACTTGCCTCGATTGGAAGGTTAAGAAAAATACTTAAAAGTCAAATTTTCTAAACACTTGATTTATCCTTTTTAAGTATTCTTGTCAGTTCTTTCAATTTTTACACTCCTTCCACCAATTTTTCATAAAGAGAAATATTTGCTGGAACGAGTGAAGGAAAAATAAACACCCAGCCAAGTGCCAACACATATTGGACAAAATAATTAATACATAACTTTGAAAGATGCTTATGAACAATATAGGCAAACAAAATTATCGATGTCTGAAAAACCTAAAATGAATGACATCCCTGGCAAAAATAGAACCATAACCATAAGTTCTTTACCCAAAACACACACACACCCATAACTACAGTTATGTTGAAGTTAATCAATTACATTTTTTAGCCATAAATAACGATAATAATCATGAAATTATTTACTGTTATTGGGGAAATTGTAGAGAGGAGGGATCACAAAGTAGAAAATTTCCACTAGTTATAATTATAGAACTATAAGGGAAAAGAGTTGCTCTTTGAGCATAATTGTCTAGTCTACAGAGTTTAATGTCAAGAGATATTCAGTGTCCAGAGTAAGAGTTACTAAAAGACAAATAAACCACAGAAACATACTACATTTCTCTCTGAAATCATACTTTCCTTGATACCTTAAACATATAAACATTTGAGAGGAGAATAATGACTTCGCCACCCTTATATCTGAACACCATAACTAAAGCGCCTTCTTACATTGATCACAAACAGACAGACAGACAAGTTTATCCTATAATCTGGACAAAGAGTTGAGAGCCAATATTTCTCTGTGCAGTCAAAATCACCTCTATACAAAATGCAAGTATATTCACCAAGTACCAAAGCTGCAGCCAATGTGTTCCTGCATGATGATTCGTAGACGATCTTGCATGATAGAGAAAGAAGGATATGGAGGGAAACATAGCTGGAAGAAGCAAGTGTGCGATGAAGGGAGGTGATCATTGTGTTCCTTCTTGTTGTAAATGTAGAGACGAGAAGACAAACCTTTGAAACCTTCCACAGGTAAATGCTTCAAAGATGTCCTAAGAAACAGAAGAACGTTTCTTTGCTCCGCTGACATTTTCCCAACAATCTGCTATGTTTTCCCCCAAAAGGTAAAACAGGTATTAATCATTTAAAAACTGAATAACGTTTGAATTAAACATTGCACCCAAACTCAACTAAAAAAAATTGTTAACAGTATATATGTCAGCGTTATGGTGCTGCCCTTTTGGTAAACGAGGACAAGGTATTACAATGTGATGTGAGCATAGTATTTCACTACTGGAGATCATCAGTGAAATATCGCTGTGGTTCCAAGAGATGTTACAAGAGCTTTGAATTAATGAGAGGAGAACAAATAAAAGGGTTTAAGTGCAAAAATACCCACAAAATATTCCCTAAATCTACAATTTTTACATATCAACCCTAAAAATGGTGCAAAACTTCCCAATTTGTAACAGAAGTTAAACATCGATCAGGTAACCGTCGTGAATCCCACATGTTTGCCACATGTGCATGGATTAGGGGAAAAAGATATCCATCATGCACTACACTATGATGCAATTTTACCCAAAACCCTAAAACTCCATTCTAAAACAAAGACATGTCAGCAAACATCGACTGTGAATGTCAAAGCGTAAATAAGGAAATACATGTGTTCAAATTTGTCTTAACCAACACAAACCCTAAGCATAATATTTTATTTTATCACATCTTATAGTTGAGTATAGGGGACTGAGTTTGAGTTTGAGTTTGAGTTTGAACTAACTTGGGTAGCCGAGAGAGGAGAGTCAAGAGTTGGGATAGCTTTTAGGTGAGTTTTGACTTATGTGGCTATCATGTGCGACAAAATAAAACATCATGCCTAACGTTAATCTCAACCAATTAGGACAAATTTTAAGATATATATTTCTATGTTGCAATTCATGTCAAATAAAATTTCAATGCTTCTAATATTTATGGTCAACATTTTCTAACAAGAACATTTGTCACGGATTGGGGATTTTTGTACCATTTTTATAATTGATGAGCAAAATTGCATCATAGTATATTACTTCATGGATGGATATTTTTTCCCCGAACCCATTTATATAACGGACATTAGGTTTCTATTGCAAATCTGAGATTTTTGCACTGTTTTATAGAGTAGATGGGTAAAACAGCACTTTAACCCTAAAAATATTTTTTCCCCAAACACATTTACAAAATATTTTATGGCTATTTTTGCACTTTAACCCTAAATAAAATTACATCACAAAGATGGAACTGGAAAATAAAATTAGAAAACAAAAGGATAAAGATATTATAGTTTAAATTTTTTAATCAAAATAATGAATGAATCAATAACTTGCGTACCTCCCAGAACCAAATTATTTGAGGATCTGTCTCTTTATAGCCATTGTACTCAGTATGTGCCTTCCAATCTTCAACAGAAATGGTTCTTTCACTCCCATGCAGCATCCAATCGAGATCCTCAAGATCTAGACTTTGAAAAAGAACTGTTGGACTCTGAGGTTGCAAAGAATATCAGCAAAACCTTGGGCAAAATGTGACACCTGCTCAGATATAGATGTTACAAAACGATCCTGTATAAGAAGATCAACATACTTCTCCCTGTTCTTGCTATTAACAACAAGGCTTTTCCCATCAGGGCAAAGCTCAACCACTTTCCTGGATCCCAATTCCTCAACCTCTCTAACAAAGGTCAGTCCTAAAGCATCTGAATCAATGAAATCTGCATCCATCTCTAATATTTGCTTGTAGGTACTATACAACTCTGGATCAGAATCCCGTATATCTTCTAAGGTAATATAGTTTCCGGCCAATTGCATGAAAAACACACGATCCAAAACAATACCCACTTGTAGCCTATGCATTAAAGCCAATGCGATAACTCGACTAGAGAAGGTGAAGTAATCAAGGTGCAGAGGATGTACCTTAGATGCTGCAGGCATGTAGAAAGGATATAATAAAAAATTTGATTGTCCAAAGAATGATAATCAATGACTACTGATACAACACATACATCAATATAGAAAAATGTTAAACACAGACTACAAATGAATAAATAAATGGGAGATCAAGTTCAAAGAGGAGCTACATCATTCCTCTTAGACACAAGTTCCCAAAGAATTGAAAATGGATCCAGAGAGTAAATGTTATCATTGGAAGAACTTTAAACGTAGGAATCTTAAACTACAAATTTCCCTAATGTCAAAGTTCATGTGAATAAGATTAAAGCTCCTAATAGAAACCACAAATTTTGATCTGACAATCATAAACTGACCCTAAGAGGCATATGCGCTTATATATATACATATTATGTTGCCCAAATGAGCTATTATTTATACTAAATTCCTAACTCACCGAAGTGGGGCACATGGAATCTCTATAGCATATAATGGGAGAAGTTGGTCCAAACCTCCATGCATTGCACCACATTTCCACTTTCACACCCCAGCTAATGCAATTTGACTTTAAGCCAAGCAAGCAGGATATAGTCAGCCTCATTATCCTCTGCCCCACATTTCTTTCTCCTGCCATATGCATGCCGAGGCTCATAATACTCCCCCTTGAAAATTTAACTTGTCCTCAAGGCAAGAAGGAAATCGCTGAGCAATTAAATCATGTTCTACCAGTTTGCCTCTTCCTATGGTCTGTAAACCCACTGTAATAAGATTTCAAGACAAGGGTGACCAGCTAGCTTGAGGTTTCACGTGATACGTATCGAGATCCCAGTCAGCTGTAAGAAGCAAAGGGGTAGGCGGTCTGGATAGAGCTGGGAAAATGGGCTGGCCCGGCCCTATAGGGCTGACCTTTGAAGGGCTCGAGCCTAAAAAGGCCAGCCCGTTTAAGCCCGAGTTCCCTTTGAGGGGTTCAATCCTGAAGCCTGGCCCTAAGCATAATGGGCTTAGGGCCGGCCCTGCGGGCTTCGAGCCCTTTTGCCTTTTTTTATATTTTTTTCTCAAATTAAAATTGGTTCAATCATTCCTTTATGACATAAGCTAAATAACAATAAGCAATAAACAATCAAACTAGGCACAATAAACAAGTAGTAATATCCAAAGAAATAAAACATCTAAATGAGCTAGATGTTAGAAACACAATCTAAATGAGAATGATAGCATGCAATGAAGCCAAGATGAGCTGAATCTATCCAGTACAGTATCCACCACCAAGAACTATAGTCTCATGAAAATATTTAAATAAATACACTTAAATACTCAATAACTCAAATATTGGTAGCATCATCATTATCTTCTTCTTCTTCACTATCATCAAGCTCAACAAAATTTGATTGTGATCCACTTACAGCTGGCTCATCAGGGGCAAAAATATCAAGACTTTCTTCTTCTTCTTCACCTTCATTATCTGCAATAAATAATAAACAAAAATACTCACACAATTATAGTTATTATTTCTCATGTTGTTTGTAATTTGTATGGTAAAAAATAAAATAAATTAAAATTAAAATTACCATTGTACACAAAACCATGTAACCAATTACAAACGTAAATGATAGCCTGAATATTAGCTAGAAGAATGGAACTCCGACACTTTATTAGGACGCGCGAACCGATGCTAAAAGCTGACTCACTTGCTACTGTAGTGATCGAAATGCTAAGAATATCAGCCGCCATCCTTGAAAGAATTGGATATCGATATTGATTACTCTTCCACTAGTTTAAGACATCCAATTCTTTCCAACTATCAGGCTTTAGTATTGGTTCCTCCAAATAATTTTCAAGTTCAGACTTATCTAAGGAAGAATGGTCCATAATTGCATAAATATCTTGATAATCCTGCATCATGTATTTATAAAGGATTAAAAAAATATCAAACAAATACTAGATTAATGAAAAAGGTGAAAGAATTTAAAAGACAAAGAATTTAAAACTTACATTAAAGGCATCATCAAAAGAGGTTGATGTTGAAACACTTGAAGCCAAGGCAGAATGATGAGTAGTGACCGTTGAAGCTTTATAACATGATCCACTTGCAGCCCCATCAACTCCAAGATTGGTAAATGTCCCCATACTTGAATATTCATTAAACATGAATATTAACTTGCTCTTAATATTAGTAACCTTCTCATGGCAAGTGATAGGGTCAATCTTCGTATAGCAATATTGTATTATAATAAACTTCCATCTTTGATCAAAAACTATTGCAAGTACAAGAATGACACTGTACTCATTCCAGTACTTGTCAAACTTCTGTTTCATTTTCCTAGCCATCTCTTGAATCACAAGATCAGGGCTTTTTATATTTGCATCAAGTAACATCTCAATTTTGGAAATTTGCATAAAATAAGAGTTTGATGTAGGATATGATGACCCAGAAATCAACCTTGTAATCTTCTCAAATGGCCTCAAGAAGCTGCACATTGCATCTGCTCTAGCCCACTCATCATTTGTGAGACTAAATTTGTAATTTGTATCATTGATAGCCATGTGTGCAAAAGCACGGTGATATTTAATTCCACTTTCAAGCACTGTGTAGATGGAATTCCATCTAGTGGGCACATCTAGTCGCAAGCCCATTGAGGTGTCAATACTACCAACTTGCTCAACACATTGTTTAAAAAGAATTGACCTTGCCTCTGATGCTTTCACAAATTTAATACTTTCTCTAATCTTATACAAAGCAGAACTTGTAACTTTCAAACCCTCCTGAACTATCAAGTTTAGGATGTGAGCACAACACCTCACATGGAAAAATTCTCCATTACTCACTAATTTGAAATCATCTTGCAAACTCAACCTCTCTTTCAATATGTCCTGCATATTATCATTTGCAGATGCATTGTCTAAAGTAATGGAGAATATTCTATTCTAAATCCCCCAATCAGTCAAACATTCATGCACTTTTCTAGCTACCTCTATCCCAGAATGTGGAGGTTCCATTTTACAAAATGAAAGTATTTTACTACATCATTTCCACCTTTCATCCACAAAATGAGCTATCAAACAAATATACGCTTCAAAACTCACAGAAGTCCAACAATCAGATGTCAAACAAATTTTACTATTACTTCTCTTCAACTTTTGTTTCAAATTTTCTTTTTGTCGAAGGAAGAATTTCATAACATCAGCAACAGCAGTTTTTCTAGTAAAAAGCCTAACATCAAGATTCAATGTCAAAAGTAGTTCTTTGATCCACTTGTATTCAACAAAGGAATAAGGAAGATCATGTTCAATTATGGCCATAGTTATAATCCTCCGAATTCGCATATTATTAATTTTTCGACACCTAATATTGCCTTCTTTATCCAATAACATCACTCCAATATCATGAAATTTGTCCAAAACTTTACAAGATCTAGCATGCCTATTTAAATGTGAAGTACCATTAGTCCCACCAGATGCTAATAAAGTTTGACAGCCATTACACCTTGCTTTAGGTTTTCCATTAACCTCAATTATAGTAAAATACTTCCAAATATCAGATGTTAAAGTTCTAGCCTTTTTAGACTTGGATTCATCGGTCTCTTGAATAGAAGAACATGACTTACCTCTGGACCTTTTAGCTTTTAGTTCATCATCCACCTGCACGTCCTCTGCCTCTTGAACTATACCAGCAGCTAAACTAGGGACCATACCACTCTTTATCAATGTTCTATCATCATACTTGGCTAAATCATTGCTAGAGACATTGGTTACCTTGCTCTTACTCTTGTGTGATTGTGAAGCAGATATTATAAATTTCAAATACTCTTTTCCTGTTGCATTGCATCAAAGTAAAAGGAATAAATTACTCACAAATCAAAGCTAGAACAGAACACTCAAATACCCAAACCCAAGCAAAAGAGGAGAAAGCTTAAACCTGTGCGAGCGATTGTGCATGATTCAACAGATGAGGGAACAAAGAACACTAGAACTCAGCACACAAAATAGAGAACTCAGCATAATACAGCTGTGAATTCGCGAGAACAAAGATTGGTGAACAACATGTTTAATATATCAGAGAACACGCAAGTAAAAGAGAACTCATTACACGACCTCGACGGTAACAGTAAGACGGTGGAAGATCAACGCCACGGTGAGGATTAGAACTACAGGATTTGAACGTTGATTCGAGCTGAGGAGGGAGATTGGACGATGGAGAGCTGTGCAAAAAACACAACAGCTAGCAGCTTAAAATGTAGATCAGATAACGTTGATTCGAGCTTGGAGCTGCTACAGTAATGGATGAGAGCGAGATGAGAGCCTCAAGTCTCCAGCTTGTCAGAAAGATCAAAGATTGAAAGAGAAAAATGATTGCCACCTACTGCACACGGAGCCACAAACTAACAAAAGTGAGACTGAGAATAAGATTAAGAATGCAGATCTGACGACGGTCGACGGTGGAGCTGCTACAGCAACAGACGAGAGTGAGAGCGAGGTGAGAGCGAGATGAGAGCCTCAAGATAGTCAGAAAGATTAAAGAATGAAGTCTGAAAGAAAGATCGCCGTCTGTCACTGCCACCGGCCACCCACTGTGCAAGATACGAAGCCACAAACTAAGACAGTAAGAGCATGAGACTGACAAAAATGAGACCGAGGGCGAGATTCTGAGAACAAGAACTTAGGGTTAGTTTTTTTTTTAAATTTCCTCCTTTTGTCCTTTAGTAAATAACTAAATATGGGCTCCAACTTACACAATTTTTGTCCAACCCATTAATCCTTCACTCATTATGTCCATAATTAAAAAAAAATTCAAGGGCTTAAACGGGCTGGCCCTCGGCCCTTTAGGGCCAGCCCGTTTAAATTAGGGCCTAAACGGGCCAGCCTGTTTGAGACCATTTTCCATTTTAAGGTCTTAATTGTAAGCCCGGCCTTCCTATTATACGAGCTTAAACGGGTAGGCCCTACGGGCTTGGCCCATTTTCCCGGCTCTAGGTCTGGATGGTATGTGCTCAAGCACAGAACAAAGGAGATATACATAAAACATGAGATGTATTTT